TGTTTCCCCCAGGAGTCTGTGAGCTTCTGGGGGCTGCCTTGGTTCCCAATCTCTGCCCAGGGTTCGGTTCAGGCCTGACTCGCTTTAGGTTCTCAGTAAAGGAGGACAGAGGGAGGCGGGTCACCTTGGCGTGGGTGTTGAGCAGCTCAAACAGGGCCATGACGAGGGCCTCCACAGAGACTCCGCCGCTGCGGTACTCGTCCAGGTAGTAGGACATGGTGGCACGCTCCTGCTCGTTCAGCAGGTGCCGAGCCTGCTCCTCCAGCAGCACACGTGTCTGGTTTCCCAGGCTGCTCAGGGTCACCTGGGAGCCGGCTGGGCCCTTATAAAATCCTGGCTGAAAGACAGAAAGAGGCTCGGGAGTTCTGAGCTGCTCTGGAGTCAAGTGACCAGACCAGGCCAGCAGCAACACTGCAGAGGGATGATGTGGTTTCCAAAAACCTCTAAGTGATCTCAGCACACATGGTGAATCCCCAGGAGATGGTTCCAATACGCGGCCTCACCCAGCTGTAAAGTACTTACATCAGATCCTTGAGACCATTCAGAGTCACAGAACAGGCTGAAAGACAGAAAGAGGCTCGGGAGTTCTGAGCTGCTCTGGAGTCAAGTGACCAGACCAAGCCAGCAGCAACACTGCAGAGGGATGATGTGGTTTCCAAAAACCTCTAAGTGGTCTCAGCACACACGGTGAATCCCCAGGAGATGGTTCCAATATGCGGCCTCACCCAGCTGTAAAGTACTTACATCAGATCCTTGAGACCATTCAGAGTCACAGAACGTTATTAGGGGTCCCATATTATTCCTAGGCTTCAGTATCTCCCTTGGTAAACTGGGGATGATAATAGTACCTGTATTTCCAAAATACAGCTCAGATCTGCATACACACTCCTGCCCCCACCCCACCTCTCTTGTCAACAGCTGTCTAAGATGTCACCCAGTCTACCCTCTGGTCCCCTCTGCCCCTCTTTATCACACAGAGCTACTGGAATGACCTTGTAAAAACAAATTTCATTGTGTTGCTTCCTGCTTAAAAGGCTTTCAATGGCTTCCCATTACTTTAAGTTAGAAGCCAACCTCTTACTGTAGCCCACAAAGCCCCATTAGCCCACAAAGCCCCATGTGACCTGGCCATCCTACCTGCTGTCCCTTGTTCCCAACTCCCCCCACACTCTCCTTTCTTCTGTTCTTCCCTTTCCCTGCCTCTGGGCTCTGGCACACACGTTTCCTTGGGCTAGATCATGCCCCTCCCCCACCCGTGGCAGACTCAGATCCACCAACTTCGACTTAACGTGGTGTAGTTAGTTCACAGCTCAAGAATCAGCTCATGGCCTCAGCGGGGCCCATGCCCTCTCCCTCTGCCTTCCCACCCCGTCTAAGTTTGGGGTCTCATTTGTTCTTCTCTCTCATAATCCCCAGCACGTTGCCTTGACGGTACTGAGCATCTTTTGCAAGTAGGTATTGGTTTGAAGGTTTGCTCTGCTTATATGTGTGCTTCCTTCACTGGGTGTACCCTCCACAAGGGCAGGGACCTGGTCTGTTCTGTTCACTGCTGGTAACCCTGGTGCCAGGGCAGTCTCAGACACATGTGGAATGGGGAGTGGACACAGTCGGAGGGCTGCCCGATGCATGAAAAAGTGTGTATAAGTTGCTTATTAGCACACTCTGCACACTCAGGAAGCTATGAAGCCGAAAATACCCCACGGGTGAAGAAAGCCCTACCTTGTTAGTCTCTTCTGTTGTGAGATCTTCAGGAAACCTGCGGAGAGAGACAAACATCTTCAGCAGCACATCTGAGCAGTTCAAACAGGCTCAAGCTAGAGAAAGGCCAATTTGGAGCAGGAACTGCAAAGCTTTGTGATACCCACAGCATCCCAGCCTCTACCCACTGCCAGCTCAGTTCAGGGGAGACTCAGAGGTATGTGAACCCCTGAACAGATGGGCAGCTTCCTGCCTCCTGATCAACAATGTGAACAGCACTTCCAAACCACACAAAGCAGACTCCTGAGCTGTTTCCAGCCCTGCAGCCCCAGGCAGGTAAGGCGAGGGGTGGAGAGAATACATGGCAACTGCCATGTGCATCAGGCCAATCCTAGGAAGGGTGGCAACAGGGCACACTGCAGATTCCCCAAAGCAAACTGCAGGTGCGGCTCAGCCCCAGCCCATGTTTTCACAAAAAGATGTGGGCTCAGGCTGCCAGACTTCCTGATTTTAAAGAAGAACCCAGAAATCCAGTTTTTTTTTGTAGGAAACCTGTCTTTTTAAGTGTTGGCAACTGATTTTTTTTTTTAATTTTAGTAATATTATTTTTTTACATTCTATGATGTTGTAGAGCAGTTGGGAGGGAGAGGGAGAGGGGAAGGGGAAGGAAATGGGATGGAAAAAGGAGGAAGGAGGAGGGGTGGGACCGAGGCCTGTGGCACCCCCCACATTCCCACAGGGGAGACCAGGGGACTTCCAGCGGTGGCTCGGTTATTGCCAGGCTGGGTGCAGATGTCAAGGGGGTGTGGCAATAGCCCTCACCCCCGACCCGAGCTCAGGAACCCAGGCACTTCTTGCTGAGGCTTGCTGGTCCTCACTGGGCTGCTTGCTTGTGCGGCGGGGATGTGTGGACGAGACCTGAGTTCTCTCAGGAGAGCCCAGGGTTGGCAACTAATTTTTTTTAAAAGTGTATAATACTGTGCAGATAGAAGGAAGGGAAGAAAAGAGAGAGAGAGCTCTGGGGTGTATTTGGCCAGGGGGCCACCAGCCACCAGGTTGAGAGTTCTGATGGAGATCAAAAGGTGACACATCACATTATTAGCAACCACGTAGCCACCTGGCAATTGTATCTCACTGTATGACTTCCAAGACCCTTTCATCCAAATTAACTCATGGGATTCTCATTAACAGATCTGGGATGGGGCAGGATGATGACCACACTTTTCAGATGGAGCAGCAAAGGACTGAAGAGTGAGTTAAGTGATTTGCCTGAAGGCAAATAAAGAAACAGCTCGGTTGTGTATTTCAGCTTTCCATGGGGAAACTGAGGCCAGGAGGTGAAAGGGACGAGCCCAAAGTCATGTCCTGCAAATGAATAGTACCCTGGTGTTAGGACCCTAGGCTCTAGAGGTATGGGAGGGGGCTTCTAGAAATGGCCCTGGGGTCCTGGAGGCTCAGAGAGAGCAGCGGCCAGACCCTGCAGAGTTCGTGGTGGTCTCCCCAATCCGGGAACTGGCAATCCACTTGGTCTCGTCCACGGTGGTGCGGGCGTGGGGCAGCCTCCCGACGTCCTTCACCGTGAGGATGAGGTGCCGAGACGACTTGAGCAGCTTGACCGCCTCATCGTGCAGGATGTTGAGAAAGCTCCTCCCATTCGCCTCCAGAATCTGGTCCCCAACCTGCCAAGACCACCACACAACAGTCACCTGGACTGTTTGCAGGACACTGGTTCATGCTAGGAGCTTCACAGCCTTGATCCCAATTCTCCACTGGACCAGCCTGCCAAGGAGGTTATCGAGAGACTCAGAACAGTTATGTGGATGCTTTAGGGTCACACAGCAAGTCAACAGCCAAGCCAGCCTTTTAATCCTGAACCTGAGCCCATCCTTTTGTCATTAGAAGGGGGCACCTTCCCATGACCCACCATGATTTTGAGGGGTGGGTCTATAATGACATTCCCAAGGGTCCCCTTATGTAGAAACAACAGTCTCTCAGAGGTGGGAGTGAGGATGGGACTAGGGGTGAAACAAGACGAGAGGCGTGAGGGCGGACTTCCATTATTTTCCATCTACGCTTCTACATTGCCGAGATTTTTATTTTAAGCGTGCATTCTCCTATTACCTTACAATGTAAACAGCATTTTAATTTACTACAGAAAAAAGCATTAAATGAGAAAACTAGCCTCCCGTTAAAGCCATACACGCTCCTTGAATTCTTACAACAAGCAGCAGTTTTCTTTTGCAATGTAAAAAACAACAGCATTTTTATGAAAGGATTAAAAATAGAGGCAAAAACACTAGGCTTCCAGTAAAAATAGACATGTGGCAAAAACAGAGAGGTTGGAAGGGAAGATGCTGCAGTCTTGGTAGGGTTGTTTGAAAGACATGCAGCTTGTTTAAACCTGCCCCCTTCACAGATGGGGCAACTGAGGCAACATGGATGGAAAGCAGCTGCCCAGGGTCACATCCGACCATGGCCTTGAAGAGTAGATGGTTATTTGGTTATTCAGGGCTGTTTTTCCTTCTCCCCAGCTTCCCAGCCTGCCGATGGCACTTAATCAACTCCTATGGGGTTTACTAGGCAGTTTTTGAGGTAAGATTTGGAAAAGGTGAGCCAAATGGGAGTCTGGGAGAAAAGAAGATAGGATGACAAGGCTGAGAAGCAAAACGCTGCTCCTGGTTTCTGGCTTTCCTTGAACGCCTCACCTGCAGTTGGGGGGTCCCAGCACAGACAGCGGTTGCAAATTCAGCCTTTACCTCTCCCATCTGCACCAGCTTTGAAGTGCTCAGGAGGCTCATGACCTGTCTCCATGGCCCCAGGCAGAGCGGGGTGTGTGTGCTGTATTTCAAGCATTCACCCACATTCACTGAACCCCTACTATGTGCCAGGTGCTGTGCTGTGACGCCGTGCCAGGCAGGACCACTTGCTCCTGCTCTGTGTGGCTCATAGCCGAGAGTGGGCTCAGTTTTGTGCTATAACTGGGCTTCCCCATTAGCCCCTCCACACTGTACCCCCAGGGCCTGGCACACAGTGGGAATTCAATAAAAAATCATCCAATGAATCAAAAGACACACATTCCTATCCATTCCCAGTGCCAGGGCCGTTTCTGCCGCAGCCCAGCAGGCACAGGCACACTGTACCAGCCTTGTTTGACCCTTTACATGTTTCTCCTCACTTCATATTCCCAGCATCCTATCATTGCTCTCCATGTCACTTGAGAGAAAACTGAGGCTCAGAGAGGTTGAGCAAACAGTTCGTGGTCACACAGCTAGTGAATAGGAGCACAAGGATGCAAACCCAGTCCAGGCTCGTCCCAACGCCCATCTATTTTCTACTACTGGGCTGCTGCCAGGAGCTCTGTCTGGGGACCATGTGGTACCACTTCAAATCTAGCATGTCCAAAGACCACCATCCTGCCATCCTTCCCTAGCTCTGCCTGCAGCAGCCAGGTCAAAAACCCGACCCCATCATCAACTCCACCTTTGTTCCTCTGAGTAGATCCTTCAGCAAGTCCCTTCCTCCACCCTCTAGCCTGGGTCCCCACCTGCTCCCTCCTAGGTTCCTGAACTGGCATCCTCCTCACTGTGTGTTTAGATGTAAACATAACTGGTTTCCTGTCTTTGCCACAGACATAGCGCCAGACATAGCACCAGATTAACTTCATCAACTTTTTGCTTTCACAACACTCCTCCCTGCTTAAAAACCTCCAATGATTCTTTCCCTCCCCTCCTCCCTGCCCAACACCAACACACACAATCTAGGAGGCAGCAAAGCACTATGGTTAAGGATTTCAAAGACCATCAGACCTGGGTTCAAATCCTGTCTCTGCTACTTCCATGCCATATGACCCCACGAATCCCCCACTAGATTTTGTGCCTCACTTTCCTTGGGTGTAAAAAAGGAGTCCTAGTCCAGGATTGTCTTTTTCCTGATGCTCAGAAGCAGACCCAAAGAGAAGGAGCACTGTCCCAGACACTCAGGCCTTCCTGAGAGTGGAGGAGAGACCCGCTGCCTGCCGGGCCCACTTGCACCCAGTTCATGAAACAGCCTCCCCACGTGGCAGCTCCACCCTCACGAAGCCCTGGCTACACCCACCATGCTGAGATGCTGCACTTTTCATACGCCAAAATGCTTTGTTTTCTTAAGTATCCCCCTCAATAGCGTTGGCTTTTGTTGACCTAAGGGAATCAATTTTAACCTTCCTTTCAACACATTTTATTTCATCCCAGCAGTTTAATTAAAGGAACTAGCGTCTGAGTCCAGAGTCCAGAAATGTAAGAACATCCTTCTGTGTGCAAACCTCTCCCTCCACGTCCAGGCCTGGGGGCCAGAGAGAGAAGGGGGCAGTTAAATTCTGCAAGCATTTACCTGGCCTTCTACAAGGCTAGTGGGGAAGGCTGCTAGACAAACTACAGGATGCCCAGTTAAACCTGAATTTCAGATACACAACAAATACTTTAAAAGTATAGGTATGTCTCAAATATTTCATAGGACATTCATATACTAAAAAAATACCCATTATTTATCTGTAACTCAAATTTAAATGGGCATCTTGTATGTTTATTTCTGAAATCTGGTGACCCTGGGGTGCAGGTCTCAGTTGCCTCTGGAGTTAGTGGCTCTTGGGAGGCTGATTTAGTGCTATGATTCTCAAACATCAGTCGTTCTCCCTCTCCTCGAGCCTACACCTGTCATTTATTCAATCTGAGTCCTGTGAATTACCCAGCATGTCACTTACTGCAGTCTCATCCTAAGCATGAATCTTCAGGAAGTCACAGGGTTGCTGTGTTAGTCACAGTTCCTTCATGCCTGTTAAATAAACACATCCCTACCAGATTTGTAAGAGGCAGTGTGGGGTTCCTGTGCAATCCATGAAATGGGAGTCATACTTGGGAAACCCTGATTTAATGGGGGCATGTGAGCCCATCTTCCCAATCTCTTTGAATCATCTCCTGTTTCTTCTTCTCCAGGGTTTGGTTTAAAACCAAAGGGTTGCCTTCGGGGTCTCCACATGGCCCTTCCCAGCATTTGAATTGGTCTGAATCACTCATTTTTCTGCATCAAGCTCTTGCTCATACTCCTCTACTTGTTACAAAGCTTCCCAAGGTCTAGGAGCCCTGTCAGAATAGCTGTCTGCATGCTCACAGTGACTGAGGGTTCACGAACCACTTTCAGATAAACCCAGCGTCTCCCCTGCTGTTCACAGCAGCCCGTGTGGCCAGCAGGGTGTGAAGTCCATCAATACACGGCAGCCCAAGTTCTGAAGCCGGGCAACCATGGCACAGTAGCTGAGTGGCCCTGCACAGCTGTGAAGTACACTCTGAGTCTCAGTTTTCTCATCTGTAAGATGGGTGTGATGCTACCACCAGTTCCCAGGTAGCTATGAGAGTCGAGTGGGACCACCCTGCAGAGGCTGAGACATGAGAGGCTTTTGAGTGTTCTTCATTTGCTTCCTTTGCAAGGGCCCTCAGAGATGTGAAGCAGCTTGCTCAAGGTCACTGTCACAGGAAGTGAACAACCGAGCGGGCATTCGAACCCACCTTTTCCATATTCTTCCTACCACTCTGCATCCCTTTACCCCAGAAAGCACTGGCAGCAGGAGACATTTAGTAAATGGTAAATGGACGAGAGACCCTCCCTCCCTCCGCTCCCAGTCTCGCTTCCGTTTGCTTTCCCGTCCCTTTGATTTGTGCAACATGAAGTTAGAAGTGGCATCTTGGAAGGCCTTAATCTGGCTCCTTCCCAAAGAAAAACTAAGAGCTCTATTTGTTTCTTCATTAAAATGTGTCTTTTCCTTACCCACAGAAGCTGGCTCAGGGTTAGGTGACATGTGGGTATACAAAGTCAAAAATAAAGAGCAAAGACACTGCATCTGTCAGGGCCTCCTAAGGGGTCTCCTACAGATGGGGAGACTGAGGCACAGAAAGAACAGGGACATGCAGAGGGCCACACGGTGAGGCGATGGTAAAGCCCAGCACCCCAGAACTCATCATGACAAGACACGCTGGAGAAAGAAGAGACAGGAGCAAAGTGTGATTGAGTGTCTCGTATTGCCCAGCTTGCTTGCGGGGCGCTGACAGGGAGGACACAGAAGGAGAAATGAATAAAGGCGGCTTTATTTTATTTGTCACACAGGTGTCCTATTTATCACCAGCGATGGAGGAGCAGAGGGTGGACCATGGGAATGCCCTTCACTTTAAGGCAGAGGAAAGACTCTTCCATCATCCACAGTCTACTGAGTGACAGGTTCATGTTTTGGATGCTCTGAGGAGAGTGTGAAGGGACTTTGATGAGGACTAATTTCCCCAGAATGTGGCCAACCACCAGGAAGCAGAAAATTCACTTCCTTTAGGTCTGACATGGGCACAGGAGCATTTTGGAGGAGCCCCTTGGAGCAGCAGAGGGTGCTTAGATGACCTCTGTTAACTGTCCCCTCTTACTCTCTAAGAAACCCGAGGAAAATAATTTTACCATTCTAAGCCCTCCTTCCCTCGAAATGGGAAAAAGGCCACCAACTGCTAGAGTGCGAAGCATACTACATGAGCGGCCATTAGGCATGTGGTTGTGAGCACAGACCTAGGAGTCTGGGTCTAATTCCAGATTCTGACACTTCCTTGCTATGTGACCTTGGGTAATTTATTTAACTTCTCTGTGCCTCAATTACCTCCTCTGGAAAATA